TGTCTAAATTATTTAAGCTAGCCCATTTCTTTTTGACTGAAATAGATTAGAGGACAATTTCATACAGACCTCATATAATATTTGAGGACATGAGCAGTAACTTTTTCATTTAAAAAAGCCAGAAGCAGAGGAGAACTTGGGTACACACAGACTCAGACTGTGACAAAAACTAACAAGGCAGTGTGTTCTTCATCTCCGTAGTTATCCATTTTTTTGCGGGATGGAGGCTTAACAGATAAGGGAAAGGAAAGGAAGAACTCTACTATTATGAAATAAAAATTTGCCTAGATATGTAAAATTAAATGAACATTTTATGTTCATTTCATTTCCCAATGCATGTGTCACAGCCTGGTAAATATTAATGTGTTTCTGCTTACTAAACTAGCCACTTTCAAGTTTAGTGTGATCTACATGTGTGTCGCATGAAAATTGAGTGCTCAACTCTAGAACAGAAACATCCAATAAAGTAAAAGGCCCCAGGAGTCAGCAAACCTGCCCTAGGTAAGATAAAACCAAAACAACAATAAACCCTCCGCACCAACAAGCCAAAACAACACCAAGCACACTAAGCAGTGCTAAAGGGTGATTTTGTAGTTGTGACTGAAACATATGCCAGTGTATATATTCTGCAGAATGTGATCTTTCTACAGAAGAGAGCAGAGCTACTCACAAAATTGTTTCTGAATTAACTTCGATAAAGTCACCCAGACTAGCTAAATTATTTAAGCTATATCATTTCAGTTTTGTCCATTAGCTCATTCATATTACAGAATACTTTAAAAATAAAAAGTTGGTCATTTATCTCATTTCTTAGTTGTAGTAATGAAGTAAATCTTGCTTCCATGGTGTTCTTCATATTATAGCTGTGTATAATAATAGTATGGTTCTGTTTTGTATATCTATGCATCCCAACAAAGGAAACACTGTAAGCACTAAGTTTTAATAAACTAAAAAAAGGAAATTTAATGGAAGAATCCAGTTGGATGTGTAGGATACTTTGCAGTTAGATTATTCCTAGCAGCAGAGGTTGTACTATTGTGTATGGTCTGTGGTCTTCTGTGTGGTTTGTTTGGTTGGTCAATTTTTATTTTATTTTTTAAATATTCAAATAGTAACATTTTAAATGGTACCTATGTAAACTAAGGGTGGCTTTTTGCTAATCTCCATATATTCATGTGATCAATTTTCTTATTGTTTTGACTTTGTGGAACCGTTTTCTGACTGACTGAACACTTGTTAACATAGAAATCTCTCTCTTCTTTCCTTATCATTGCTGTAAGACCCAGCAATATATTAAATCATTTTTTTTTCCTTTAAATAAATTATAGCCTTTAATAAAATTAACATAAATATACTTATTTCTTTCTACAGTGCAACTAGGTAGCAAATTACACTTAAGATATTAAATGGAGAAAAGAACAATTAAAATTAAAACAAAATTTCTGTGAGAATGAAAACATCTGCATTTTCTACTTATTTATTTTCTGAAAAAATTTTAATACTAATATTCTTCAGTCATTTTTTCCTGTGATCATTGAATAGACTTTCTTATTCTTCTGGGCATTATAAATAGGATCACTACCAATCCCCTGGACAATATCTTTGTGTTTTGCATATGTGTCACTGTGCTTGCAAATTTCATTTGTATGACCTTAGTCTGTTCAAGTAATGTTCCAGTTCATTTCTTTCAGGTTACCCAATGACATTTCTCTTTTCCTATACTTTTGTATTGCTCTTTAAAACAAAACGTGACTGAACACATCGTTTATTCATACTCTTCAATAATTTCTCAGAAGTACAGCATTTTATCTGACCATATATCGACTTCCTATGTGTTTGTGTGTGTATATATACACACCTTTTTTCTTCCACCGAAAATGTTGTAAAATATGTCTCTTAGTTGTTGATATTGTTAATTGCAATCTTAGAGCAAAAGTTCAGAATGTTTATTCTGGAGAACCCCTAAAAACAAATAAAAAAAAGGATGTAATCAAAGATATAATAAATATTGTCGAAAAGACCAAGAATTATCTATTACAGTATGGGAAGATATTTTGTGATAGAGATTTCTTTTTTCATTTTTTCTTTTTAGAATACCCATAGTTTTGTGCATTTCTGTGTTTACCTTTCTTAAATGGCTGTCATTGTCTTTGGTATAATTTAATCCACAGGGAATCTAAAAATGATTGTCACTGTCACTCACTGTCACCTCTGTGGGAGTAGTGTTGTAGCCTAAATGTTTTACAAATGTAAGCAAGGAAATTTCTTGTACCTTATATTACCTGAAAAACAAAACAAAACAAAACAAACAAAAAAAATAGGATAAGTTTAAAGAAGTCTTCTTTCTTGTCTTCTATAGGTATACTCAGTAGTTTGCAACCCGGTTGTCTTCATTTCTGTACAGTTCTTTCAAACACTATCCTGCCACTTAAGATGAAATTTGTCTTCCTATCCCACAAAAGGTAGCTGACCATGGCCAAGAGCTGAATACCAACACAGACCCTCACACAGCTCACCTACCTCCCATGGGGTGGGGTGATAGTGGAAAGCCACTGAGAAGTCTCATGGATTGAGACAAAAGTAGTTAAACAAGTGAGGTCAAAACTGTGCATAGAAGCAAAGCAGAATGCACCACTTCCATCAGCAGACAGGTGTTTAGCTAATTCTGAACGGCAGGACCTCAGCACATGAAATGGTTACTTGGGAAGAAAACCACCGCAACTACAAGTGTCTTCTCTTCCTCCTTTTTATTGCTAAGAAGATGTTATATAGTATGGAATATCCCTTTGTCAGTTGGGGTCAGTTCTCCTGGCTGAGTCCACTACTAACTTCTTGTGCACCTTCAGCCCAGTTGCTTGCTGAGGAGAAGAGTGGAGGCAAAGCTGTGATGCTATAAAAGGAGAGTTCAGTAACAGCCAAAATACCGGTGCCTTGTTTTAGCCACAATCCAAAACACAGGACCATGCTATGAAGACAATTAGTTCCATTCCAGTCAGATCCAGTAATATGTGTAAATGTATTATTGGAGTTTTATTGAAGATGGGAAAGATAATGTTACAGACTACAATAATATCTAAGTCATCATCTAAGGTAGCCTTCCAAATCAAAAGAAAACACAAGTGAAACTCCGTAAAGAATAAGAAACTTCACCACTGGACACATTCTATTTTCTTTTTTATTTAAATATGATGTATAACTTGCTGGTTAGGGTTTCCATTAAAAATAAAAAATACTTCCATTCATTAAAATAGACAATGTGATATTTTTCACATTGCTGTTAGGAATTATGGATTCCAAAATAATAAAAAAGCAATTAGTAGAAAAGTTACACTGAGAAATCAGAGAAAACTCTACTACTACTGTATTTTCAATGAGATACACTTCTTATCTGTAGATTTTTCAGTGTAACTAATAAGCTCAGAGTTCACTGATAGCCAAACAACGCAATGGTATGAAAAACTTTGTGTTTTACTCTTATACAATTATCAAAGGAAGCTCTGCAAAATAGAAACAGGAATTATGAGTTTTAGATGTGGCCCAGTTTAGCAAACTAATTTCCCAACATACTAATTTAACTGCTCTGAAAAGAGCATGAAAAGAAATTCTAAATAATTTCTATTTAAAATAGAATTCCATGCCACATATCAAAACTGGAGTTGCAAAAGTCCTGCTTCTTCCTCTCTAGAATGGTTGGCAAAGTGAAAAAATGGATAAAGTAAATCAGAAACAAAAAAGGAAATAAGATGAATTGTCATCAAGGGATAATTTATGACACTTGTTTTTGTGTTAGCATTGTCTTCTAGCTCAAACAGATTTTTCCCTCTGTGATATTTATTCCAGATACCTTTATTAATACTGAACAGTCATATTCTATTGGAGTTTTCATTTTTCTGGGCTGACAAGCCAAAGTTTTAACATCTTCTCTCATACAGAAGACTGTCAATGCTCTTGATCATATTAGCAGCCTTCCTCTGCATTTGTTCAAGTCTGCATCAATCTTCCTATCAGAAACGCTCAAAACTGCATGTAGTGTTCCAGATGAGGTCTTACTAAGTCCTTCTGCAATAATAGTTTTTAACCATCTCTACCAGACATATTTTATGGCTTGAATATCTGATAGACATTTGTCTCTTTTCCATAGTCATACTAAACTGTCATGTTCTACTCAGCCACAGTAGACACAGGACTTCCTTTTGGCTCATTTCTGTGAAGATGAATGGCTTGAGTTAATCACTTGAGTTTTGAGTTATTAAGGGCAAGGAAAAATTTAGAAAAAAAAAATTAACTTGATATAAAATCTTCATAAGTATGGAATCCAACAATCCTACCACCTCACAAGCTTGCTTATTTATTTTTTTTTCCTATAGAATCACAGACTATATGGGCTATGAATCTATATACATGATATTAAGTGATGTCAAGAAATACTTACAAAAGGAGGTTTCATGAGTCAGTTATTCTCAAAGAATAAACAGTGGGATGTAAGGAATTTTTTTGTTTAAAAAAATCATATATACATATCTCATATATACAACCTCTTTATCATATAGATATGAATTGTATGCTATGCATTTTGTATATATGTCTCTGTATATATCTATTTGTATTCATGCATCTTTACTTCTAACCATTGATTTTACAATAAAAATACATTTTTTCTTCATACAAACAAACAAAAATTAATCCCTTTTATATACCTTCCTGCCGCGACCCGCTGGGGTAAAAGGATAGGGTCACAGCACTGCGAATAAGGGTTCTGAGACGGTGGAAGGTCTGGTGAAGCAATGCCGACTTTATTAGGTGGGTAACAACTTATATAGGGTTGGATAAGGGGTGGAACTTGGGCTAGGGAGGAGCATGGGATTGACAACCAGGGAAGTATGGTGATTGGGCAGCTGGGTCAGGAGAGGAGGGGTTTGGACATCTCCGGGGGAAAGGACCAATGGGAGCTACCTCTGCACTGCACCAAAACCTAGCCAATGGCAGGCAGAGGAGCGGGAAAGCAGGGAAAAGGCGGGAAAACTGAGGGAAGAAGAAGGGGACAACATGGAGGACAATTTTTTAAAACAACAACTGGGGTACATAAAACTGTATAACATCATAACAATAAACTGGGGAACAACTGGGGTATAACAGACATATCTAGTGAGTGTCATTATCGGTATTAAAGGTCAAGTCCAGTGTTTTAGAGTCCATTTAGGGGTTATATATTTTCCTCCAAGCTTCATATCGTTCCCATTCATCTTTATTTCCTCCAACATCTCCCCCTTCTTTATTTCTTTGAGCGGCAGCGATGTTAGCTTCGAAGGTCTTCATCAACATCTTTCGTAGACATACAACTAAACAGGGTAAAACAGCACAGACAGAAACCAATCCAAAAAGCGACAGGATACATAACATAATAAGCTTTCGGGTCCAATTGGGGAAATTTGGCAGCTTGATCCAATCAAAGAGGCTATCGAGGCCGCCTCCTTTGTCTTGATGAATTTCCTGGACCAACCCCCTCAGCTGGTTGATACTCTGATGAATGGACTCGGAGTGGTCCGAAAAATTCATACAACACATGCCTTCAAATTCCTGGCACCCGTGACCGTGTGCCAGGAGAAGGAAATCTATGGCGGCCCGATTTTGTAAAGACACCTCTTTTAACTTCTGGGTGTCTTCAAGCAAGCCCTCTATCGCCTGGGTTGTTGCATTCGCCTCCTTGGTCAACCAGCATCCAAGGTGCGTTAGGAGAGAGAGGGCATGCGCTGTCCCTATCCCGGGGATAGGGAAAGACGCCCAGAAGTTCTTCACCCTGGACCAAATGTGAATGTTGGAATCACAGTCCTCGGGGAAGGGCAGAGGAGTTGGCCAATACTGAGGCCTTCCAAGATTCATATGAGGTGCAGGGAGAGAATTTTGTATCCGAATCGGTTCAGATGGGGGTTTGAACATTGCGGGATTTGTTCCAAGAAACTGGAGGGGACCATTTATTACGTATGAAAGGGACCTTTTGGCTCTTATTTTTGGATGTACTAATTGGTTTTCGAAATAGAATTTAGCCGGATTAAATAGGGCAAGTTTTCCTATTGTGCAGGGACCTCCCTCCGGGTAGGCTCTAATCCCTGGCCATGCCCGATCTCCACACAGTAGGAAAAATCCCTTAGGGAGCCTCATGTTCCGTGGGATGTGCTCGGTGGGTACGGTGGTAGCCACCGAGCCATTGCACCACGGAGAGTGTGTCCCTTTATAAATGGGCTTAAATGCGGTAACGTTGAGAGGGGTGAACAGAATGGGTTGGGTGTAGCGGTGAAAAATAATGCAAGCGGTAGAGGGAAGCGAACCTAAGAGATCTATTTCTTGGAAGGGGATGTCTACGAAGGGGAGCGCTGATATTGCCTGTGCCATGTTGGGGGAGTTTAGTGGCAGGGATCCCTTGACCCGCGTTTGTGATACAAACGCGGGCCATTCAGATGGAGAAATGGGGATCCCTACCAGGCAGGTCTTGAAGGGGCTACCTGCGCTGGTCAAGGCTAGGCATAGGGTGTCAGTGCCTGTAGCCTTGGCCAGCGTTACCCATAGATTTTGAGACGGCTGGTTCATCCATCCTTGTAACGGGACGGTGGCGGTCCGATGGATGAATCCAGCCAGGAGGATCCACGGGAGATAACGCAGCAGCAGCATTGGTGTTCTTCTCTGCGTCGTAAGCGTCTTCTTCTGAATTGTTGTCGTTTATTCTCGGGAGATCTTGATACGCCGAGCTGGGACCCACTTTGGTCCGTCAGGACCTGCAATACAAGCGTAGCCCTTTTCCCAGGTTATTAAGGGGAAAGGGCCCGTCCATTTCTCCGTTAGCGGGTCCCGGTACATTACTTTGGCTTTCTGGTCTGTCAGGACCGATGACGTGGTCCTGAAATGGCGGTCCACAGGACTTTTGCTTGTGTGAGTTTCTGTGTCCTCCATCATGTTGAGAAAGTTAAGAACATACATAACTTTCTCTAGTTTTTCTTGGGGGGAGAGGCCAATACTCCCCCCTTTCTGTTTTTTAAGCATGTTCTTAATGTTTTGATGTGCACGTTCCACAATACCTTGTCCTGTGGGGTTGTGGGGGATCCCTGTGGTATGTTGTATCCCCCACTGTTCAAAAAACCTCTTCGTGTCTGCAGACACATAGGAGGGCCCATTATCTGTTTTTATCTGTTTTGGGACCCCCATCCTCGCGAATGCAGACAGGAAGTGTTTTTTGACATGGCTACTCTTCTCTCCAGGATGCGCGGTGGCTACAATCATTTTTGAAAATGTGTCGATAGACACATGTACATATTTTAGTCTTCCGAATTCGGCCACATGGGTCACGTCTGACTGCCAGATTTCCAGGGGCGACAAACCTCTTGGGTTTGTCCCCTCTGGGACAACAGGTGTAAGCGTTTGGCAGTCAGCGCAAGCCTTTAAAATTTCTTTTGCCTGTGATAATTTAAGGCCAAATTGTTTTTGTAGTGACCGCGCATTCTGGTGAAAAAACTCATGTGAGAGTTTCGCCTGTTGGTATAAATTGGGGGTTACAACCATACCTGCTAGATGATCTGCAAGCTGGTTCCCCTCCGCCACAGGACCAGGTAGAGTGGTGTGCGAGCGGGTGTGGACGATGTAATAACCGAATTCTCGTCTTTCTATCAGAAACAACAATTTAGTTAGTAATTGAAATAAATTCTGATTAGTGACATCTTTTAAATAGGAGTTTTCAATTCTCCTTACCACACCCACTACATATGCCGAATCAGAAACGATGTTAATTGGCTCACCACTAAAAATTTGAAAGGCGCGTACAACTGCCGAGAGTTCCACGATCTGAGGAGAACCTTGAACTTTGTGGATATCCTGGTGCCAATCGTCATTTTGTTTCCACACTATTACCGCGTTCCCGGTTCTCCCCGAGCCATCGGTAAAAATTGTTTTTGCATTTGGAATTGGAGTCTCGGATTGCATAATTTTGAGTCGGATTGGAATGTGAACTAGTCTTTGTATAAATGGGCACGCCGGGAGATGTAGCCGAATTTCTCCCGGGTAACCCCCGATGGCTATCTGAAAATCGATGGAGGTCTGCAGCAGTTGATCTAGGTGTTCAGAAGTTAGCGGGAGATAGATGAAATTTGGTTCTTCCCCACTAAGTTCTAAACACCTAGTGCGACCTTTAAATATTATCTTTCCAATCATTTCAATTATAGTGGTGATGGTTTTTCCGAATTGATGAGGGAGGAACATCCACTCCCACAAGCAAAAGTCTCGGTGGTCACTCGTAAATTGACCCAGAAGGGCCAATGGTTGTCTCTGTTCTTTTATCACCACTAAGGAGGATGGCAGTCCCTCCATCCTCCTACATGCCTGTCTCTCGGAAATTTTCTTTTCAACAGCGGTAAGGGATTTGATGGCATCTGATGTTAAACGACGGGGGGAGGACAGGTCAGCGTCTCCTCTTAGCAGCTCAAATAGGGGGTGCAAATCTCCTGTTGTGATCCCCAACACAGGTCGGATCCAATTGATCGCACCCAGTAGCTTTTGGAGGTCGTTCAAAGTTCGGACATTCTTATCAATTGTTACCGATTGAGGTCTGATATTTTTTGCATTGATTTGGAGTCCGAGGTACCTCCATGGTGCTTCCCTCTGCACTTTTTCAGGGGAGATCTCCAATCCTTTATTTTTTAGGGCCGAGATTGTAGAATTTAGTGTCTCATCAACTGCCAATTGAGTTTTTGCGCAGATCAATACATCATCCATATAATGGAAGATGATTGACTGCGGATATTGCGACCGAATTGGCCTCAACACCTCTGCCACAAACATCTGGCAGAGTGTTGGGGAATTTTTCATCCCCTGGGGAAGCACACGCCACTGGAACCTGCGGTGAGGTTCACAAGAGTTGATTGCAGGGACAGAGAAGGCGAATCGAGCCGAATCAGCCGGATTGAGGAATATATGAAAGAAGCAGTCCTTTATATCAATCACCACTAGGGGCCATTCAGCAGGGAGCATGGATGGTGAAGGCATCCCCTGCTGGAGGGCTCCCATTGGCTCTAGGACTTCATTAACTTTGCGCAGGTCCTGGAGAAATCTCCAGGAACCTGAGGATTTTTGGATCACGAACACTGGAGTGTTCCAGGGACTGGTGGAAGACTCCAAGTGCCCTTTTTCTAGTTCCTGATTGACCAAATTATTGAGAATTTGCAGCTTTTTTGTTGGTAGGGGCCACTGATCAACCCAGACTGGCGTGTCGGTCTTCCAGCTCAGTCTGGGGAGCTGCTTCACTTCAGTGACCCCACCTAAAAATTTTCCTCTGGAGTCAGGGTGCCCAATTTGAGCTCCCACTGCTCCATTGCGTCCCGTCCCCACAACGTGATAGGTATGTTTAATACATACGGTTGAAGGGACGCTGGTCTGCCCTCCGGCCCGTAGATAGTTAGAACTTCCCGACTCCTGACGGGGTACTGTGTTCCCCCCACGCCGCTCACTTGGACATATGCCGTTTGTGCTGGCCACGCGTGCGGCCAGTCCCTGGAGGCAATGATAGTGACATCCGCCCCCGTGTCGAGTAGGCCCTCCACCTTGACCCGCTGCGGTTTCTTCGGCTGCGAATAGTAAATAAAACAGGTTAGGAGTGGGCGCGATGTTTTAACGGTGGTGGTCCACAGGACCTCCCTTTCCGCTGCCTGCCTCTCCTCCTCATCTGCCGAGAGAACGCACAGCAGGTCTTCGGTGGAGACCATCTTCGCCACGGGGAAGCGGTCCTCCAGCTGTACGGGGGGAAGATGCACAGTTAGACAGATGGCGATGTTATTAGGTGTCAAACCCGTCAGGAGAGTGGGTACAACAACAATTCCCTTACCAACTGCTGAAAAGTGTGATGTTATCAAATATGTTAAGTCAGGGTCTACAGGATTGGATGGTAAGACCCTCGCGAGCTGTTCGTATGAGCTCAAATGCGTGGATGGATGGATGACCTGCAAGACAATCCAGGGTAGGGGTTTACACTGCTCCCGAAGGGGAACAGGGTCCGCTGGTGGCAGTCGGGTTACGGGGTAGCTGGGCGTGACTGGCGCAAGATGGAGTGGGGGGCAACTTGTGTCATCGCGCCCCCCCGGGCGCTCAGCTCCCCGTTTCCCGACTGCTCGCAAGGACACTGTCTTAAATCAGGCATTGATGAAAACGTTACGCGCTTTCGGAGCCGTGGGGATTGTTTTGGGGAAAGGGGTTCGCCGTTGATGTTTGTCTTGGACCTACAGTTGGAGGTCCAGTGGCGCCCCTTCCCACACCTGCGGCAGAGTGTGTTTGGCAGGTTAGGCTCCGATCTAGATTTTGGGCAGTGTTTACGAAAATGACCCTTTTCCCCACACTCAAAACAGTGTTGGGGCCCCGAAAATGCAGCAGCCATGATCCTTGCTTTATGGGCATTGGAACCCACGTTCTTGCAAGCCTCAATCATTTCCAGCAGAGTTGGATCTTTTAGCATTTTTAAAACCCTCTGGCAGTCCTCATTTGCTTTTTCAATCACTAATTTATTAAATAGAATTTCCTGGGATTCTTTTTGGTGGACTTGCCGAGCGATCGCTTCTTTGAGCCTCGTAATAAAATCTACGAAAGGCTCTTTGATTCCCTGATTGATTAGTGTAAAAGAGGGCGCCTGCACGTAGGCATCTGCCACTCTTTTCACTGCCTCTAAAGCCAATTCTTTTGTAGTATTCAACAATTTGGGGTCTAATCTAGTCTGATCCCCTCTGCTGGTGTAGTTCCCCTCCCCATAAAGCATGTCGATGGCCTGCCTTGTTGGAATCCCCCTTCTTTCCATTTTGTCGTTGACAAAGGCAACGATACGTTTTTTCCATTCAGCCTCGAAAACCGAGGCCTGAACGGTGGTGAAAAGCCCTCCTATGACTGCCCGAATGTCATAGGGGATTAAGGTATAGGCAAGGAAGAAGGATTCCAAGAGGCCGATGGTAAATGGGGCCCCTAACCCGTACTCTACGATTGCCTTTTTTATATCCTTTAGCATTGGGTAGGACACTGGTCTCCACTCGGGGGGTTTCCCCTCCTCATAGTAAACCGGAAATGCCCTTAGGAATTCTACATCCTGGGCCCGCGCAGCTTCCTCCCGGAAGGCCTCCCAGATGTCAGGTACGGAGGGTTGCCTTTCCGGGGAACGCGGTGCCCACCCATAGTCATTGTCCGGTTCCCGGTGGGCGGGGTAGGCCCTGGTGTTATGGGGCCTACGGGCGCGGCCATCTTCCCGGAAGGAAGGCTTGGCCTTTGCCCTTGCCCCGCCCCCTGCTTCCTGCCGGTGCCGTAAGGGCGACACGTCCGGGGAGGAGACTGGGGTGACGGAAGTGGGCGTGTCCGAAGGCGCGTCGGGGGAGGGACTTCTCGCGCCACGAGTGGGAGGAGAGGGAGGCGGCCCGCGGGGTGGAGCTACGGGGGCCCGCCTTTTCTTTTCCCGCGCTGGTTTTTCGCGCTCTTCACCCTCCCCCCTTTCCTCTGGGCGACGCTGTGGTCCCTCCTCGACGCCATTTCGCAATCGACGCGACCTTCTTCCACGCTCCCTCCCGCCATCTTGTTGAGTGGTGTCAGTGTCCGTCTCCGTCCCGCCATTTTGTGTGCCCTCATTGTCCATATCGGTTTTAGTGTCCTTGAGTGTGTCCTTTGTGAGGCTGGTGTTCGCGTTCATCATTTGGTGCTGTAGCACCATCAGAACGAGCCTCCAAGCGATTAACGCTTGCTTGGCCAATTTGTTGCCTCGTTCGGAGTCCCGCCACAGATTATATCCTAGGGCTTGCCATTTGTCCATCGAGATATTATCATTTATGGCACAGCCCTGGCGGTCCAGCCACCTCGCTAATGCTTTGGCCGATTTTTTATCGAGCGGGTGGCCATGCTCGATGACAAAATCCTTGAGGCGTCTATATACGAATTTCTGAGAGGTGGAGAGTGTTAAGCCCATGGTGTTATGTGGGAACACTCTCCGATGTTACTCCTCTCTCTGAAATAAATTACGGGGTGTGGAGTGAAGGGAAGGTGTCGGGGATGTCCCTCGTGGCTCACCTGTCCGGTGCGCGACCCACACGACTGTAGCAGTCTGTAGCCGTCGGCTGCACGAGGGAGGGTCGGCGGAGCAGTCTTCCCTCCTGAAGCTGCCTGATCCCAAGTGGAGTCACAGGAGTTCCCTTGATACAAGGGACCTTCGACTGTGCCCCACGTTGGGCGCCACTTGCCGCGACCCGCTGGGGTAAAAGGATAGGGTCACAGCACTGCGAATAAGGGTTCTGAGACGGTGGAAGGTCTGGTGAAGCAATGCCACGTTTATTAGGTGGGTAACAACTTATATAAGGTTGGATAAGGGGTGGAACTTAGGCTAGGGAGGAGCATGGGATTGACAACCAGGGAAGCATGGTGATTGGGCAGCTGGGTCAGGAGAGGAGGGGTTTGGACATCTCCGGGGGAAAGGACCAATGGGAGCTACCTCTGCACTGCACCAAAACCTAGCCAATGGCAGGCAGAGGAGCGGGAAAGCAGGGAAAAGGCGGGAAAACTGAGGGAAGAAGAAGGGGACAACATGGAGGACAATTTTTTAAAACAACAACTGGGGTACATAAAACTGTATAACATCATAACAATAAACTGGGGAACAACTGGGGTATAACAGACATATCTAGTGAGTGTCATTATCGGTATTAAAGGTCAAGTCCAGTGTTTTAGAGTCCATTCAGGGATTATATATTTTTCTCCAAGCTTCATATCGTTCCCATTCATCTTTATTTCCTCCAACATTTGCTCTCTTTACTCACGCATGTGTGTTACTCAAGTTTCACAAGTTGTTCAGATTATGTTGTTCTTCCTCTTTCCTTACCAACCTATTTCCTATTCAGCTGTGGTGCTTATTGGGCTGAGCCTGAGGTGTCTGTCCAAGCCAATTCATCCGTCTTTCAGGGTCATGTACTCAACTTGCTCTTGCTTGAAAGTTCACTCATACCTTTGAGGTAGAAGATCCAGATAATCCCTAGCTGCAAGACATTAACCAGACAGGGAGCCATTTGAGCACCTGGATGCCAATAGCAGAATTGATACCCACAAGCCATCAGGAACAGAAAAGCATGTATGCAAAAGTTTTGGCAGTTGACTTGTTGCAGGACTTTGATGGAAATCTGAAGAGGCTGAATAGCAATTTCAACACATATTTTTCAAGAACTCTACTGTTGAAAATTCTCACTTGAACTCCTCTCTATGATCAGATCAATGAAAGCAGCACTCAGGCCAACCAGATTAAGTGATTTGTCTCCAAGCTGTTTCTACTGGTTTGAGTCTGTATGTTAAGAGTGAGACATCTGAGAATCTGCTAATTTCTTGGTCTTATTCAGTCATATCCAAAGATTTGTAAAGAAAAACAATCAACCACCCCCCCCCTTATGCAGTATAAAAGTCAGATGATAATGTGATTCCAGTTAAAATACCTGCCTAGATAACTGCCTGATAACACCTGACTGGCTGGTGGTTTCAGCCAGAGCTGACTTGTTGGTTTCAGCAGTGCTTTCTGACATGATTATATTTGTGTCTAATTACATGTTGGCTCGTGGCTTGAGTCCAAGCTCTCCCACCATCCTTGCTTCCTGTTATTGGCTCATGTTTCTGCTTGGCCGCAGGCAAATCAACTGTGTTTTCTCAGGCAGGAAAAATCAAGCCCCACATGGGGACTAGCTTGACCTTGAACCATGCCCTGCCAAACACTAGGATCTCAAGGCAGTTTGGGCTGATGATTTGAGACCACACTTGGCCATGGCTCATGAAGACAGTCTGGGATATAGTTTGTGCAATTTCAGTGTATAGCCACTCCTAGCTAACTAATTTCCCGAGCTGTTTCTTGTTCATCTACCAGTGTCACCTCTTTCCACCAGACCTTCCAAAGTAGATGCTCCCTTCTACACTGGAAAAATGCAGTGGAGCAAGAGAGAAAAGTTGTACTTTCATAGTCTTCTTATGCTTTCATAATCTGCTAGTTTTTGTACCATTTCAGAGAATTTTCTCATTCTGACATTTCAGTGAAACATATAAGATCAAATTGAATAACACCACATTCTGGGGATTTGGGATGATAAACAAACTGAGCCTCCTTGGTGACGTGGGCTAGCGGCTGCAGAGTCTCACAGCCCCCAGATATGGGCTTAGCAGCAGGGCCCTGTGCTGTGTGCCCTCTCCGACTGGTTGGTGATCTATAAGGTCAGTAGCCACCCGATATTTGTAACATGCATGTGATTAACATCAATGCTTCGAATATCCAGATAGCCTATACCCTAATACGTGTGATCCATAGGTTGCTCTTATGCCAGCTGACTTAAAGAACTCTACACCTACCAGCCTTTAATGTCTCCTCAGTCTCTGCTTAGAAGTAAAGATAATGGGTAGAATTTCAGGTCCAGCTTCTGATTATGTGAAAAGCTTTAGAAAAAATGTAAAGATCTTATGTATGTGGGCTCTCCAGTGGGGCAGAGGCAGAGGAGATTTTAGAGGGCTGCTGTGTACCAGTCACACAGAGATGGGTAGGAGAAGGTCTTGTGTTTGCTGGTTACACAATGACTGCATCCTGATGCTGGAGATCAGATATTGATCAGGACAGAACCCTGTTGCTTGGTCTTCCTCCTTTTGCCCTGCTTTGTCACCAAGGAGATGGGTATTGTGATGGAAGTATGCCAGCATTACCAATGAGGTGTGCCACATCTAGAAGCACAAATCCAGTTAAAAAAATAAGGGCAAATTTATTCTACTAGGGCTCTCCACAGTTTTAGGGTAGCATCAAGTCCCATGGGGTTACAGGGTGACGGGAGTACTGGGCAGTGGTAGGAGTCTGGAGATGGAGAAGGAGGCTGAGAAGAAAGAGGTTGAAGGGAAAATCAGAATTGTGGATCCAGCCTTCTGCTTACCAGCCATGCCTACACCTCTGTACCTTTAAGAGGAACAGTAAGATGAAGGTTTACTTAGTGTGATCAAAAAACAGATGTCAAATGCGAGGAGTGTTCAAAAGCCTTGTGCTTTTAACTGCTTATAGATCGTACCCAGAGTAGATCATTAGCTTTTATCTCCCCACCCTCTCAATTCACTCCCACCTACATACAATGACTATAAAGTTTTTGGGATGAGCACCTGTTTATATGGAATACTGTGAATTCTGGTCTGTGCTTCAGACCTCTATCTCCTTGGCATTAGAAAGTTGCTGATAACTTGCATTGAAAGTTTTTGATAACTTGCTTTTGATTAAATCAAGAATAAATGAGCCAGATAAATATATGCAAAATGTTACTTGAATTTTCAGGACACAAGAAAATTTTTCAAGAAAGTCAAGCAATCAAAAGCCATATTCCCAGCTAAATGTAGAATCAGTGATGCTTTGAACCAAAAAATACTTTTAAAAGAAGACTGATAGTAGTGCCAGATTGCTCAAAACCCAAGAACAACATGAAAAAGGAATATTACAAAACTCAAAAAAGAGCTGATTGAAGGAGCTGGGGCCCAAGGCAAGCTGCAATTGTTTTGCCTTTTCTGGAGATAGAAATACCTTTGTCTCAGAGGAAATAGAGCAGACATTCTTTGTAGCTTATTTCCTTCTGACTTCCTCTGTGCTAGAGGTGCATGTTTTCCTAGAGTTTTTTGAGAAACTAAATCTTTCTTCTGTGATTTCACACTTCAGCAGCTTAAGTCCAGCTCATTTTCAGTGATATCAAATTTTGCTTATGTTAACAAAAACCCCCAACTCTACCTGAACTTCACTTTACTTCCCTACCAGACCATTTCATACACTTCAGAATATTCATGAGCTCCAACTCGTGCTTTCCCTTATGATGAAGCTGAATACCTACTTAAGTTTCTGGTGGCAAAGTTTATGTTTGCATTGTTTTCTCCACTGTTTAGTCTGGCATCTGTTTCAATATCACTGCTTTGTGTCAGAATTAGCGAGGAGAAAAAGAAGCGTATTTATGCAGTACAATAGGTTTTCATAATAATTTCCAGATGGCAGATCCCATCCTTCCTTTTCTTACTATTCGCTGAAACTCAAAACACTGTGTAGAGTATTCCAGAGGTAAAGAAATAGGAATGAAAATCACCTCAGGGAAAGGTTGGTATGCCTTACTTTTCATGAAAAATCTGTCAAAGGAAAAGAAACTTAAAAAATAGGATATGAATTGATAATAACTGAGGGAAGAATTTGTTAATCACATTTAGTGCAGAAAATGGACTAGTAAACAGTCTGATAATAAGGTCATGATCACAGTATCTCATGAAAATGGACCCATTACACAGTGTTTTCTTCAGTCCTTACCTAGATGAACCATTCAAAAAACAAATGCATTAACATGCTTATCGAATGTAATTTTCTCTCTCTGTTAAGAAAAATACAGAATTTCTTGAGTTCACAGCAGAAGATTGACCAAGACTGAGTTAGGCAGCTCAGGCAGCAGCAGCTTCTGCTGTAAGGGAGATAGGCTCTGTTCCCATGCATGAAGACTTATCCACAGAGTGCTGTTGCTGTTTGAATGACATCTTTTCACTATGCTCAGAGCTGCCTCACTGAGGAGTCAGTAAAAATCCCTCCCAGGCAGGAGAGACACTGAGATTCCCAGCTACATATACCCTGTCTTTTCCCCCATAGACTGCATGCCAATGTTTGGATTTAACCCTGCCTGTTCTCTGGCTCTTTTAAGGGGTATATGGCTGCCTCTTGCCTTTTTGAGAGTGGGAAGCTATGAATCCTTTGTGAATGGGAAGAAGGTGATTAGAAAGCTATGTCATAGTAGAGGCATTCAGCAGAGCTAGGTATCTGGGTGGGAAGAGGGACACAAGTCTATTTTCACAGTTCTGTTTGATAAAAACCATTTAAGAAAATGTGTGGTTTCTTGCTTCCAGATGTTAAAGAAATACCATTTCTTGGCTGTTCTTGTATCTCTTGGCCTCTGACTTTGAAGCACTGTTACCATAAGTTGATTTGCATTGGCTGGTATAGTGCCAAGAAATCAAGCTGAAAGAGACTTTGTGACAAAGTTGATTTATTTTTCCAATGAAAGTCATCTCCATCAGCTTGAGATGATAAAATGACACAGTTTGGCAAGGGCTCTCTTCCTGATGTTATGAAGAGGGAAAATGTATTTATTTCTACATGTGAGATTTATTTATTCCCTTTCACTTCTATCTTCCTTTCATTTATCAGTCCAGAGAAGGAGCATGTCAGTTTAAAACAAACAAAATACTTGATATGTGGGTGGCTCCAGATTCACTGCAGATCCCTACAGAAGCATTCATTGTGAATTACGCCTGTTTGGATGTGGTGAAAGCTGAGGGTTTTGTGGATTCCTGTTCCCCTCCATTTGGGTGACAGTGCTGTACTCTCTAATTGACCAGCATGATTCAGTATGTTTTGGTTTCTGTCTTGTTTCTTTTCGTGCCTCCCATATCCTCAGTAGTGCTATTCTCTTCAAATCTGAAAGTACCTCCCATTTAGCCTGCAGATGTATTTTACTCTACCGTTAGTAGGACATCGAGAGAAATTAAAGGCCTTGGTGTTTAGCCCTTTCATAATCTCACTTCTGCACAAGGCACATCATAAAGAGCTTCACTTGCATAGTATAGTCTGCTTAATGGATGGTATCAAAGAAAAATAAACTCAGCAAAGCCTGATGTGGTGACTTTGTGGCTGCTTGTGAACTGGCCATTTGCAGGTCACAAACAGAACTACAAGTCTGGAAGGAAAGGAAAAATGAAAGGAAGCACAGACACAGTTGTCACCCAAGAAAGACTCACTGTTTCTAACTTCTTGAAAGATACTTATTTGATAAATTTACTGACTGTGTGTGGGCTCTTTTCTTCTTTTCCTGGCACAGATCCTGTTAAATACACAGAGGGTCAAATACTTCTCTTGGTCTTCCTTCACGGAGGCCAGCTGGAGAGCTTTAGTGTAACAAAGCACACTTTTCCCTTCTGCCATTCACCTCTGCATGAACTGACAGTGGGCACTTGAGACCCGATCTGTTCTCTCTGACTGCAGACTATTTCTCTCCTTCAACACACTGCCAAATGAAGGCTTTTCTAAGCGAGTGAAGAAGATATATTATTGAACATGGCTCTCTTTGCCGTAGTAGTAGAGTTATTTTCGTGTCCCTGATACAAGGCACTGTTGTGTTTGGATGTTATTTCAAGTTAGGTTACTTTATTTCAAATTAGGTTACTTTGGGGTATTTCAAGTAGATGAGCTAGTAGAGTAACTTAGTGAGAGGAAACATTTCCTGAGTGTAGATGGGGAAAAGACATCCAGTAGTTAGCAATTCTTGGATGTTTCGGCATATATGTGTGGATATTAGAAAGTAAAGGGAAAAACTAGGGGAGATGAGGGAGCATTTTTGTGAGAGACTGAGTCAACTGGGAAGATGCTACTGAATGCTGTGCAGGGATCTACTGTTACTGGAAACCACCCAAGTGTAATTTGAGGATATAGCTGGTATTTATTGGTATTCAATGTATTATAATTGCTGCAAGAAGTATATTTTTTCTGTGCATG